CACCCACCTCAAAGGCCGGCGGAAGACATTACAGGTGGCAGTTAGGACCGTGCCTGGCACCCAGGCGGCTCTGTCAGGGGACCGAACCGTCAGACTGCTACCACTTCTGTCTGGCGGTCAGTTCCAAGTGCAAATCGCAGGTCCTGTTTGCCAAGCCCGGGAGGGACGGCTTCCCGACCGATTGGGACTGAGGGAGACACGGAGGCAGGGGTGGGGACACTGCTCCGGGGGTACTAGCCAGCAGGGCCCAGCTGGCAGGGGGGTGGGGGGGAGGGGAGGCATCCCCCCTACGTTCCCCCAGAGCAGCAGTGGGGAGAGACTTCTGTCCGCCCAGGCCCACCTGACTCCATGCACCCCCCAGCTGCGGGTAACAGTTCTTAACCAAGCTGTTCTGCATTGCCGGGGTCAAGGTTCACAGCATCAGACCCAACAGGCACCAGAGCAACGGGAGACAGCCGGAAGCAGGACAGGTGGGACCCCGTCTGGCTTCGGGCTCCTCAAAGGCAGGGATGAGAACCAACGGAATTTCTCACTGCCTGCACACTGCTCAGTGCTGGGCACACGTTTGCTGAACAGAACAGAAACGTGCTGGGAATTCTGAGGGTGGCAGAGGCTTCCTACCGGAACAGGAGCATCCTCCAAATCTTGGCCCAACACCCCCTCCCCCATCTTTGAGCAATGGTCAGACCTGGTGGGACATCAGCTGGACCCTGAGGTCGGGTCAAAGGGGGAAAGGGGGCAGCCAGAGTCGCCTTGTCATTACGAGAGCACCAGAATCCTCACCACCCACGGCCAGGCCATGAGCTAAGGCACAGGATGGTTAACCGGCCACCTCTAACCTCAGTTCTACCCCTCAAGGCCCCAAGGAAGTGGGGCCACCAGGAGGAAGCTGCCAGCATCCTATTTTCCCCTCCCTGGAAAGGTCAACGGCTTGGGCCACCTCCGTTTCCTTGAAAGGGACCCTGTGAGGGGGTCACGGGCAGCCTTTGCCCAGAGGGACAGCCCCCTGTGCTCTCCACCACCGAGTCCTTGATCTGCAAACACTTATTATGAGCCATCGCCATCAAAGGGAACATATCAACGAGGGCTTCATTTGCCCCTGTGTCAGGGACAGCAAGTTGAGTGACAGGCCTCTTGGGAGAGACCGTGCTCTCTATCCAGCTCACCCCGACCTCCAAAGACAGGTCAGGAAGTGTTCGTTCCAGGGTTCTGTGGGAGATGATCTGGTGACATCACAATCCTCCCTGCTTGGACACCTGATCTCCAGCTCAGGGACATGGACGAAGGGTTCGAGGAGCAAACGCGCAGAGGTCGAGACGCCTCTGAGTCAATTTCACTATGTAGATCCATAGAGAGATGTACACGCAGGGCTGTGCTAGGGAACCAATCCTCCCTGAAATGCAGCATCCTCAAGACTGACATTTTGGAGGAATGCACCTGGCCCCAGGACCACAGGCGTCAAAGCTTTGTACGAAGAATAGGACTGCCTGACCATACAACAGCTGCCATGGGCAAAAGGAGGCTGGACATGCTCCTTGGTCCCTCCGATTACAGACTCGTGAAATGCCCACGGCCATCACCACAACAGCTCTTGACTACCTGTGCTGTAAGCCAACGCACAGCTTTAAGCAAACCACCCTTCTGCCTGGGCTCCTCCTGCCCTCCCTTGACTGCCACCCACACGGCGTTCAGATGAATGAGCCCCCCACCCCCACCCCGCCCATGGCCCGCATAGCTGGTGAGCCAGACATATCCGGGCCCGGCGACACCCACCAGCTGCTTTGGGCAGAGGCTCGAAGCACAGCGAGCGGGGCCTTCTGGACGTGGCCCTTTGGTCGAGACTTCTTGAGTACCACGGAGACAAGGAGAGAAGCTATCTGCTAAGCATCCAGTCAAAAGACAGGGGAGCCAAGGGAACATTGGAGAGAGAGGATGCACCCCGGGCCCCACCTCCTGTCCCACGGCAGCAAAGCCACGGGCCAGCAGGCCAGCGCCTCCACAGCGCAAGCATCCCCCCAGGGGACGGACAGTTTCACAAGAGCCCCACACCGCAAACAACCCAAATGTCCCTCGGCGGTGAGCAGACCAACAAAGTGGGGTGCTTCCAGGCTACAGAAGAGTCCAATGACAAGGAACTACGTGTTGCCTGGGTCCGGGGCTGGGAGCTAACAGATGCACACGCGGACAACCGGGGAGCTGTTTCAAGCCGTGAAAATGTTCCAAGACTGGATTGTTGGGATGTCTGCCCAACTCTGGAGACTTACTAAAAACTACTGAATGGTAAACTTAAAACAGGTGAATTTTATGATATGTGAATCGTACTTTAATAGTCTACAAAAACTGAAGAAATACAGGCCAGGACGTGGATGAATTGCACCAACATCCCGTGGAGTAAAAAGGGCCAGTTCAAAAGAGTATGGATTGTACTCTTCTGTTTTACGTGACGTTCTAGAGGGAAAACTATACTAATAAAGATCAGAATAGTAGTAGCCCTGTGTGCGTGTGTCACCTACTGGGAAGAGCGATGAGGCACCCATCCAGGGTACTGGAAATCATTAACATCTTGATCTGGATGGTGGTTACCACAGGTTATCCGGAGGCAAAAATTTGCTGGGCTCGCACTAAAGATTAATGCACATTTTATACACACACATAGCCACGTAGAAGATGTATACCTAATACATGTACACACATTTAAAAGTTTACCTTTTAAAATAGCAAAGCCATTTGGATGCTCAAATTATAACTGGCATTGCCTAAAAGTGAGGACAGTTCCCTGGGAGCTGAGAGAAGAGGCCATTCAGTGAACTCCTACCTAACCTTCAGAACCCATCTCAAATTGTCCCCATTCAGTGAAGCCTTCTCTCATCATTCTAGGTATAACGGCTCTAACTGCTGAGCATCCCTTCACAAAAGTCGATCCCCGATCCCCTGCATGCTGGGAGCTGATCTTAGAGCAACGCAGGAAGTTGTTGCATTAAGAATTGGTTAGCATGTGTTTATGAAACACCCACGGACTGCTTAATGCACGCAGACACACGCATAAACACACCACGACGGCCCAAACCACATGCCATCTTAGCAAAAGACACTAATTCCCACGTCCAAATAGGATGTCAGTTCTGGGGCAACAGGATCCAGATGTGAGGCTTATTATCTAAAGGGATCCAGCCTGATCCTCCTTCTTTCACACACAAATCACAGCCAGAAGAGATCAGGGGAACCCAGAGCAAACTCAGGGTCCAGTGTCTACTGAACTCGCCCCCCCCCCACCACCCTATTTCGGGTCACCTTTGCTTGCACTGTCCTTGCACAGCCTAGGGATGGAGCCGGTCTAAATGGACTCCCAGGGAACATTCCATCAGGTGTAATGTTTAAACTCGACTGACTACCCCGCCACCCCCCGACTGCACCCTGCCTGCTGGGGCTCCCTACCCTCCAGCAGTAAAGGCAGGCACCTGCTGGCGGGGGCGGGGAAGGACGACACCCACAGTCCTATCATCTCTCTGTCCAGGTTTCCCAGCTTCTCTCTGCAGCGCCCCCAACCTTGGAATCTCTAGAAGCCCAGGTCAGCCCAGGAAACTGCTAAAGAAAGTTCCCCGGCCCAGCCAGGTCTATGTGTCTGAAGAGAGGCCGGAAGTGGAACTCTAGTTCAGCAAAGCCCACGTATGAAAAGAGAGAGAGGCTGGAACCACACCTCCAGGAAAAGCTGCTTTCTTTGGGCGGGTGGGTGGGTGAACGGGTTACCGGGCGACTGTGGGTGACTTTTTCCCTTTAACTATTGTCGTGCTTTCGAAGTTTCCACAATGAATAAACTCTTAATACACTTCACGTGTGGCGGGAGCCACCCCTAGCCCTTGGGACTCCGTGACCTCCCAAGTTTCTCTTTCACCTTGTGACAAGGTAGCCGCGGGTCCCAGCGTCCCGGGCCGGCGAGCGGGGCCTGTCGCCCACTCCCCAGTGGAGCCTCGGCCAAGGGAGGGGCCGCTCCCTGCCACAAAGTGGCCCGAATGGGCTGGGAGCCTGCTGAGCCCCCGCCCCCCCCACCCATCCGTGCCCCTGGCCCCGGGTCCCCGGCCCACCCCCTCAAGCGCCGCCCCCCAGCCCGTTCCCTGAGCCTCAGAGGTACTTGGGAGGTGTGCAAGCTCACACACACGCACGCGCGCACACACACACACACACACACACACACACACACACACAGTCGCACTTCCTCCTCCCTCCCTGACCTGGGCCACCGCCCCCAAGAGCCCACACGTTCAAACTTGGCCAAACTCGCAGCAGGGTCTTCAGGGGAGCCGTGACGTCCCCCCAAAGAAAGCGGGACCCCCAACACACACACACACACACACACACACACACACACACACACACACGCACGTGTGCCGCCCCACCCCCTGGGCGACAGCAAATCTAGCCCGGGCGGCCCCGCGGGGGCTCGGGGGCGGCTGTCTCGGCCCCCTCCCCCAGCAAGTGACACGAGCGGGGTCGGCCGGGCGAGGGGCCACCCGACCCGGCGTCGCTCCACGGGGGGTGGGGGGCGGGACAGGGGCGCGGGGGGGCGCGGGGGGCGGG